ATAGAAAATTTTATATGTATTCTTTTTTTTTTTTTTTTTAATATACTCACTGAGCATCGCGAACATGTTGATAAATTGAGAGAATATACAGCTTTCTGGTGCATAAGTGGCTGTATCCGAGATGTAAGGAAACCCGGCTTCCACGTGGCCCAACATAACTGCTATTATATAACTGGAAAACGGGAATGAATGTACACGTATATATATATTTGCAATAAGTATAATGGAAAATGGATGACGTTTATTGTACTTAAAAGCGAAATGCAATAAAGAGGAAGGACTGGTAAGCTTAAGTTATGAATGCAAGAAATCTGTTTGCATATTCAAAAGAATATATGTAAATTTACTTGGAGGATTAGCAGATGCTAATTCAATATTTTATCTGCTTATATTACGACGATCAAACATATATGCATATAAATTATATTTTTAGCTTATTAAACCATCAATTTTAACAGTTTGACGAGTTTGTCTGTCATGTTTTTGATATAAAGTATTTTTATGAACGTAAAGATTTTTTGTTAAACATCGTCCTGACGGATATTCTCATCCTGCATTAAAATATGAAACCATTCGCGGTTTATTATGCAAATTAGATGCAATTTGCAATGCGAATTAAGAATCGAAAGATACTTTTACTTTGCATACAATCGCAACACTTTTAAATTCTTTGACATCAAAGGAAGAAAGCACTTCCGAATATCGAATTTAATTTTAAACGTTGCAACTAATCGCGTGCAAACAAAATTCTTTTCCTTAGAGAAATAACTAAATCAAAAAAATACTGCTTTCTAATTAAACGTGTATGCGTGCGTGTCGCAGAAAAATTTCGCTTACGTCAAAATAAAGACGGAAGGCAATGAAACGAAGAGGAAGATCGGTAGATAATGGAGGTTGACGAGCACGTCTTCCTTGTCCACCATGTTTCCAATGTGCGTTTTTAATTATTGTCGGTTTTCCCGCCGGAACTAATGACGTCAGACGACGACGTCCGCGGCAGACGCCGCTATCGAGAAGAAACACGCGTCGTTGCACGCGTCCACGAGCCACGAGCACTCATGCTCGTCTGTTCCAAGAGGCTGGACCTCTTATTCCACTTCCTTCCCAGGGGAATCACCCGCTACGTATCATCCAAGCCGCAACCGCACTGCAGTTCGACTCCCATCAACGTCCCTCTTCGATTTACTACCTTTAAAGAAACAACAATCATGAATCACGTGGTTGGACAGGATCAAATGTATTCCGCTATCTTTCATCGTTTCTATCAGCATGATTCAGCTATTATTCGATTCGAGATAAAATGTTACGAATAATCTCAATTTTCATAAATCATATACACGTGTATATACATTGTTGTATACGTGTACATACTGTTTTAGAAAATTAGAAATTTATAAAAGAAAAAGAGAAGAAATTAAGAAATTAATCAATTCGAAATCGTATATCGACATATTCGCGATAATATAAACTAACATTTGCGGCGATATTTCTTTTTCTTTAATCACGCAAAAATTCCTTTTTAATGAGAAACGCTTGACGTGAAACGGAATTTAATCGAAGCAAGCTGCGCGCCATAAATATCGTACGCGATACCCGAGCAGGAAAACTGCGGCAAGCGGCACACGTCACCGTGAATATTCGTCCACGGCAACGAGTGACACGTCTCGAAACGTTTTCGCGAGAAGTGACGCGTATAAAGCGTGCGAACATTCTCACGCGGGCGTTGTCTAGGGACAAAGGAAAGGGGGACCCTTGCAGCGAACTGCAAGCCTGGAAGCCCTACTACTGCGTACTTGGCAACGGCAAAGCGGTTGGAAAAACCGAGGAGAATCGATCCGATAAAATGAAAGAAATTGTTTGTACCTTCGACGTTTTATTTCTCGCCGTCTCGTCAACGCTCGACGAATCGTCGTCGACGTCGAGGTCGAGGCGTCGACGCGTTTCCACCGAAACTGGACACCGTTTGGAAAGGGTGCTGCACAACGATTGAACGTCTTCTTCTATCGTGGACAACGCCAAGCCCAAATCACACCGTTTCCACACTTCCTCTCCTCTCGATGATATTCGACCAACGATCCACGAAATCCCACCTAGCTTCGTTCCATCGCGATTTTGTTTGTTCCTGCGCAATTTTCGTGCTTCGGTCCGCGAGGCCAGGGTGAAGAACGAACCGAGTTACAGAGGTTATGGCCGACTGTGCGCGATCGATGTTGTGCCAACGGCGCTCTCAGCAGCTGCGCCACGAGACTGACGCGGACGTCGTTCCTGCCACACGTTCTCCAAGGAACGTTTATGCCGATACTATCCGCGAACGTGTTTCGATAATATACGTATATACGTGTACACAGTTATCGATACCGGATTACCGCACCTTGCTCAGATAATCGGTGTTCCGCTTTACGACCGTGCATGATCAATTTCTTCTATCGCATGTGTTTACGCTTCTTCCTTTTCGGTTTCTCGTAATTTTCTTTCAACTCGAAATACCGGAAATACAGTGTTGAAATTAAATAATATTTATTTGACGCTACGTTTTCGTTTTCTCCCTTGATGTTAAACGTTTGGAGAAAGCTTTCTTTCTTTTTTTTTTTTTTTTTTAACGAATTTTAACTCGAGTTACTTTTAAGTTAGTTTTTAGCTAACATTTTTTTTCCTCCCCGTGGAATGCGAACGAGAACACGATGAATGTTTGATACGTTGGTTTCATTACGTTAGTTTGGTTAAGAAGATTTTTAAATTCGATTAGAAAATCGCAACTATCGATTCGATAATATCGACAACGTCAGCAGTGCAACTAGATATCTTTGCATACTTCAGAGAAGAGGATCCCAGATTAGACAAATATATACGTAGTTGCAGATTTAGCGAATATTTCGTGAAGGAGTTACTACAAACCTCTGAATCGTGCGAATTTGTTCACGTTATTGTAATAAATTTCGGTTTAAAATTGCGAAATTTTATTTATTTATTTTGAGACAAATCTATCTCGCTTTTCAAGATGTTTTCTTTGTCGTTGACGCAAGTAATAATAGCACTTGTTCAGCATCCAATATTGATGATTGCACGTTCGAAAGAAAATTAAGTCTAATCAGATCGATACAAAATACGTATTATTAGTAAAAAAAATTTCTCGTTAATCCAAGAGCTTCTTAAGATTTGTGGCAACGTTCTTGTATTTTTCAAAGGAGCTTCGATCGAGCGCTAAAGAAGATAAATCACGATCCTCGACGAGCCACTGTACCATGCACTTTGTACGAGTCAAGTTTCACTTTAATAGGTGTTACACGCTATTTCTCTATAGCTAATTGTTAACTTTCAAAGTTTGTTCGCGTGTCTTTTTTTTTCTTTTTTGCAGAAATGACACTCGTACGTCGATCAATCTATCGATATTATTATCATTGTACGCTTATTATACGCTTTAGGTTTCATCGATCGCAAAAAAAAAAAAAAGAAAAATAAAAATAAAAAAGAAACGTATTATGCATGGTATCACGAAGGTATTAAACCGAGATAATTTTTCGAGTAAAGAAATATCTGGACGAAATATTATCTTATTGTTGATTATCTTTTTTTTTTTTATCTTTTCAATTTTTGTTAAAATCAATTGATTTACATTATCTTAAATTGAAACTTGATATTAACAAAATTTACAAATTATTTTTAATAGAAATAAAAAAATTTTGTTTTTCTTTTTTACAACCAAGGACGATTTAACTGGAATAACAATCGATAAATAATTAAGTAATTAAAACTAGAAAAGATAAACGTAGAAACGTAGAAACGCGTATTAATCACTGAATAAATTTTAAGTGACTCGAAAACGTGATATCCGACAAACTTATTATTACATTATTAAAAATATTATTAGTTGAAATAATCATTATGATGCATACTTTTCAAAAGAAATATAATTTAAATACTTAATCGAGACTTTATATATATCCGAGGGATCTCAAGACTCTTGAACTTGTGAGCTCAGCTTGTGCGACAATTTCAAGTCTTGGTCCTTGTCTAGATATATCAGCTGAAAATAGAACATTCGTGTGTCATTCGAGAAATTGATTTAATCGCTGGGCTGATTTAACTCCGCCAAGATAAGATTAATCGAATTGTAATCGACTCGTAATTGTATTGTCACGCGGTCACAGTTTGAAATTTTAAACATTCCATTGTAAATTATGATTCAACGTATTATTAATGTATACGTGCTATTAATTACCCTTATCTTGTGATGTGACAAATACGCGTACAACGTTATTGCTAAATTATAATTATTACGTAGGAATGCGGCGTACCGTAACCACTGGATCCTCGAAGTTGATCAATCGAAATTCTGGCACGAATGTGAGGAGGAAGCAACAATAAACAATGGCCAGTACCCACTCGGAGATCGCGCTAGCGACGTGCCAACCCCAGCCACCGTCCGTTGGCAGCCATTTCTTGTAATCGTTACCTGTTCGATCACATTAGAGAGAAATCGAATCAATCGTCAATATCGATATCGCTACGTTTTTCATACGTTTCACGAAGTTATATCGAGAAATATCACCTTGAAATTCTAGCATTGATATGTAGCCAGGTATGATCGTGGTGATGGTCAAAATTAATGTTAAAACTGAAAGTCCTGCACGAATGAAAACCACGATTTTTCCGTTCACAGCCGGTACCATTTTGTAACTCAGATACGTCTGAAAAACGTCAAACGTCAATTATCGACATATATATACGAGTCATATTTTTTTTTTTAATAAATTTAAAAAAAAATACAAAATGTTTTACTTCTACTTCGAAAGTAGAACGCTCGTTCGAAAACGGAGAATAGTCCCGTTCTCTATTCCATTTTTGATTTCTAGAAAGTTTGTAAATTTTCAACAGTTTCCAACAGTTTGGCTATTAGCATCGCTTAGATCATATTTCTAGAAAGTTTCAAATTTTTCCAAGTTCTCTATTCATCGAACTTTCCTCGTTCCACGATCGTGCGCGCGTTAAACAGTGACTGGGTGGGTGTAATCTCGTACCTGAAGGCAAAAATAGATAGTTCCAGCCGTGAAGCATGTCATTGCCCCGATCATATGAGCCCCTACGACACGGGCTTCTTGAAAGTTGGCCAGAATATCGAGACCAAAGCAGGCCAGAATGCCGCACCACGCCGTCACAACAACGATCCTCTTGCTAACCAGATCATTCCCCCTTTCCAATTGCCATTGGGAAACTTGTCGATGTCTGATGTACACGCAACAGGCGACTAAAATACACGTTACTATCGTTAATCGTGGTCCCATCGATCCCGATGTGGTTTACGTTTTTTAAATGTAAATAATTCCAGACGAAATTTACGGAGCAACGCGGCTATATTAAGGAATTGGGCAAATATACACGATTCCGGTGACAATGTGCCTGTTTCCGATATGTATGGGAATCCTGGCACCACGTGGTCCCACTGCACCGATATAGTGTACCTGAAATGCGATTAATATGAAAGCGAAAGCATGTCAAGCAATGTTATTCTATAACGAAAACAATTATCACGTGTAAATTTCGTGAAATCTTCTAAAATCGATTTTAATTTTATTCTCGTTATTTAATTCCTGCGTCAATTCTAGTATCCAGGTAAAATTTACAACTTAAAAGTTTTGTTGTAAACCTTCCTTAAAAAGAAAGAAAGAATTGGTGAATCCAAGAGGATGAATTAGCAAAGGATTGTTGGATTAAAAGAATGTCAAAAATTGTATTGTAAAATGTTAAAAGGTGGAGAGGGAATAATAACGAAATAATTGAGAATCAGAAATTTGAAACGAATAAAACGAAGCAAGCGATTAATTAAAATTGATCGTCGATAAAAATAATTGTTTGCACGTTATATTTGAATTTAAATCTTCGACGTGTCGGTTTAATAATAATAAAATTAATGCGTAAGATAAGATAAATATCAGATAATATCGGATTAATGTTTTCTATAATTAATTTTGTAACGAAAAAAAGAGATTTCGAGCTTAGTACGCTGCGTTTCGACGTCGCGAATCATTGAATCGGTGATCCACGATTGAAAGCAATCTTATTTACAGAACAACGATTCCCGCGAAGCGTACACAGACGAGTATAATGAATCAAACTAATCGTGATTTATATCATGCCACCAGGAACAGAATTCGCGTGGCAGTCGTTGTTTCTTATTAAATGGCCTTGATCGACCGCACAACTAACCGACAAGCATTAGTTTTCCATTATGATTTAATTTTCTCTCTAATTACTTCTGATCACAACCTCACCGTTTCTCCGATCAATCTCCGATCATTTTTAATTAATTTTTTATTCTTATCAAGCTTGGAAACAAAGCAAGAGATGGGAATGTTTTGAAAAATTCGTATAAAAGGAACGAATTTCACGCGTAATAATCTCTTGAAAACGCGTAAAAATAATTTTAACTCGATTAATCGGATCGAGTTGAAGGATCGGCCGAGGACGCGATAAAATAGAAGATGGATGGATGGTAGCAAAGAAAAAAGACAAAAATGGTAAAAGTGTTCAATGAAATTTGAGAGGAAGGAAAAGGCAGAAGAAAAAAGGTTTTGCATCGACTTGCAAACTTACGTAATTAGAAACGTCACCGGGATCAGGATAAAGAGGCTCAATGGAAGAACGTGCAACTTTCCGTAGGGCATTCTCGTACTCGTTTGTCCCAGAGCACTGAAACGTAACGTGTTCCTTATCAAATGATACTTATCGCATTCCAACCGTCTCGATTTTCATAATCGTACAATTGCCCACGATTAGGTTACTTTCGAGATGAAACCCCAAGCGAAAGCAAAAAATAAATCGCG